GTTAATGAAAATATACACAGATAAAGAGAGATAGAAAGAGTAATCGGGTGTTTTACCTCAGTTTAGTCGAGATAGAGTAGCAGGGGGTCCATTATTGTGTTGGTGGTTCTGTGGTGGCAGGGGTAAACGGTGGTGGTGAGTGGTGTTAGGGTTTTCTGAATGAGAGAAGGAAGAAACGACAAATGATATCAGAGAAGGAGAAGAGTGCCTTATATAAGAGGAGGGATTGCCAGAATTGAAAGATTTTTGCCACGATCTCGGGCTTCAAGAAGGCTTCATCAAAGATTAAAGGACTGGGTCAAAGTCGATAAGGAGATTTAGTTGATGTTGATCAGATTAGATTTCACAGCATAAAGTCATTATGCATGATGTAGTAATAGCTTGTACCTCTTAAAATTCAGCCTTTGACCAAATATGTATATTAAGGTATAATATATATATATATATATATATATATATATATATATATATATATATATATATATATATATATTCATTATGTCTGTATCAAGAAACTATCTGTTACGTTATTCATTAGTTTTAATTTAATATTTCATATAGTTTGGTTCCATTTGGAATGAAAAAGCTCCCTTAGAAGAAAAGGTGTTGGTTACGATTGTTGCTACATGGGCTAGAGAATTTTTGAATAACTATATGAATGATGTTCTTTAAAAGTGCATATAGGGTTAAGGTTAGTTGTTAATCTTTATAGCATCCTCCTTTTAGTTTAATTATTGTTTGTTAAAATTAACCGTGTTTTGAAATATTAGACAAAAAATTGATTCTTTGTTATGTTTGTTTTTCAATAAGAATGGAGGATAGTAACTACTCTTGATTATGGGACAATCCTACTTCGATGCGATAACAATTTCTTTTTTGATTTTTTTTTGTAAGTTTTATGTAGTAAGACATGACCAAATCAAAGAGTTTTTTTGTGACACACAAAGACGTTTATATCAGTTTATATCAATGACTAATGGTTGGTTATTTAACATGTCTACATTAACATACCTTCTTTATCATAACATATTTTTTTGTATTGAATATGTGTTTTGGATGTAAGTTTCAGTTGTATTGGTGGCTAATTTTAACATAATGTAATTTTGGATGTACGGTTTGTTAATTATTTTCATAAAAAACTATTATAAAAAAAATGAGCTTTCTTAAATGACCCGGTTATTAGAACGGAAGAGGTGCATAAGTGATTGTTATGTGACTCGGTTTTGAGTATCTGAGCCGGTTTAGTAGAACCGTGTCCAAATCTCCTTGTGTGGCCTGGTTTTGTGCTCTCTGATATAGTTATATGTCCCGTTTGTTAAAATAAAGCACGCCCTTTTAATACTAATAGAACCCGGTTTTGAAACCGGGTTTTATTGCCTTTTTCACATAGGACTCGCCGACAATAAGTCTCGGTTCAAAACCGGGTTATTTAACGAATATAACCGGGTCCTATAAATTTTTTTTTTGTAGTAGTGTCCGCTGCAAAATCTCTTGATTTTATGATTTTTGTTAGGGAAATTGTCAGAAAAATCCCAATATTTACGGAAAAGTTATACTTTAGTCCCAATATTTTTTTTTGAACACAAAAGTCATGAAAACCGACAAAAATTTACAGTTTGACAATTTTTGACCGGTTGAAACCGGTACCAAATTAATTTGGGACTATTTCGTAAACTAACTCAAAATATTGGGACTTTTCTATAAACAAAAATATTATGACTTTTCTGTAAACAAAAATATTAGGACTTTTCTGCAGACATAACCTTATTATTATTGTTGTTGTTGTTGTTGTTGTTGTTGTTGTTGTTGTTGTTGTTGTTGTTGTTGTTATTATTATTAAAAATATAAATAAGAATACTATTTTGTGAACTTGTATTATTAATATTGTTAATAAAACAAATAAACGCATTTAAATGAAAAAATAATGACATTGTTTAAGGGTGGAGGTGGAGGAGATGGTGATGCTTTTAGTATTGAAATCATGAATTTCTGCTTGTATATTTTTACTTTGTATATGGTCATTTCACATTTGTTTTTAGTGTTTTCAATTAAGAATATTAATACTTAACAATTTAAAAGAAGTTGCATATTTGTAAAATTCTTTATAAATAGTTTAAGGTAGAAGGATTTCTCACTTTGTATATAAAATTGTTTAAGGTAGAATGATTACTTTCCAAATCCAACAGATCCACTACAAACATCTACATAGATAGGTAGCCCATATCAAAATTCAAAAGTATTAATTACAACATCTTGTTTAATAAAAAGTAATAGGACATGTTTTTTGGATTAATACTTTTGAATTTTGATTAATACTTTTGAATTATTCCTATTACTTTTATTAAACAAGATATTGTAATTAACACTTTTGAATTTTGATATGGGCTACCTATGTAGATGTTTGTAGTGGATCTGTTGGATTTGGAAAGTAATTTTTCTACCTTAAACAATTTTATATACAAAGTGAGAAATCCTTCTACCTTAAACTATTTATAAACAATTGTATAAGTATGCAATTTCTTTTAAATTATTAAGTATTAATATTCTGAATTGAAAACACTAATAACAAATGAGAAATGACCATATACAAAGTAAAAATATACAAGCAGAAGTTCATGATTTCAATGCTAAAAGTATCACAATCTCCTCCACCTCCTCCACCTTCTCCCTTAAACAATGTCATTATGTTTTCATTTAAATGCATTTATATGTTTTATTAACAATATTAATAATACAAGTTCAAAAAATAGTATTCTTATTTATATTTTTAATAATAATAATAATAATAATAATAAGAGTTTTGTTTGCAGAAAAGTCATAATATTTTTGTTTACAGAAAAGTCTTAATATTTTTGTTTATAGAAAAGTCTCAATATTTTGGGTTAGTTTACGAAATAGTCCAAAATTAATTTGATACCGGTTTCAACCGGTCAAAAAGGGTCAAAGTGTAAATTTTTGCCGGTTTTCAGGATTTTTTCGTTTAAAAGAAAAATCTTGGGACTAAAGTGTAACTTTTCCGTAAATATCGAGATTTTTCTCGAGATTTCCCTTTTTGATATCCAAGCTTGAACAAAACACCAACAATATTAAACTTAAGTAAGTTTTCGTTCTCTGAATATCAATGTACTTCAATATCTACTTTAAAGTTAGATCCACAACCTCTACAAAGTATATACAAATACTTAAAATTTTTTGTTGTCACAACCACATTGTTTGTGTAAACCAGAGAAAAGGTGTTTATGAGGCTGAGCCTAATTCATTTGGTAAAAGAGAAAGTTGAGGTTATCAAAGAAATAGTATTGAGGGCCCAAAACCGTTAAATGAATTATGAAAATTTGAAGAATCGTCCGATGACATTTAAAGTAGGTGATCAAGTGTTTCGAAAGATGTCATTTTAGAGAGGAGTGATTAGTTTTGGGATGAGAGGAAAGTTGAACCTGGGATGTATTTGACCATTGAATGTTTTTGAAAGGATCGGAGAACAAGATTATTTATTTAGAGTTGCCATACAAACTAAATGAGATCCATAATGTACTTCATGTATGCTATTTACTCAAGTGGCTTGGCGTCAAGGTTTATTTTTTTTCATTGGCAGAAGTTATTATAGATGAGAACAAAGGCTTGTAGAAGAACACGACCGAGAAGATTGTAGATTGAAAGGTTAAGAAGCTAAGCAAAAAGATGACAAACATGATCATTGTGAAGAAGTGGAATCATTCTACGGGACCAAATCTCACATGAGAAATAAAAGAAAAATGAAGAAACGTTGCCTACAGTTATTCATGGACTCCAATGATTCCGATGACGAGATCATCCTAAGTGGGAGGTAACTACAACACCCTTTATTTTTGAAAAATTTCAGAAAATTATTATTAAAATAATTTAAAAAAATAAGGTTAAAATTGAGTTTTTTAAATAGTTAGTAAATTAAGAAGATTATGACTTTGGATGATATATTTGACCATAAGTGGTGAAGAAGGTAACGAGGGACTTAAAAATGTCACAATAACTAAATTTGTGTTAATTGGTCTTAACATGATATAAGGACTAAACAATTAGAAGTTTACGGAAATGGTGTTAGTTAAGCTTCTAGGTCAACATGTGGCTTAAATGAAAGGATTCTTAATCAGATATGTGATTTAGTTGTCAAAATACCTTAGGTATAAAAGTAACTATCTCTACTCTCCTTATTAGACGGTGTTTGATCGAACAGAAGGGGGCGAGAGGCTCAATATGGCGATTTACTAAGATCTAAGTCGAGGGTTCATCTAGTTAAGTAGATTTGGATTCGAACTTAAGGCACTTCATAAGTAATTAAAAAAGAATACCTTTTAAATGACGACACCAACCTAACATGCAAATTTTGGTTCAAGACGTCACCCATGTCAATTGGAAAACTCCACAAATGGAAATCCTACATGTTTGCATTTACTATTTTTGGTATTCAAAAATATAAAGAAAAAGGGAGTATCCATGTTGCATGCTTTTCTTCAACTGACGTTCTTTCACCATTTCAACCAACTAACAGACTATCAATCCTTCTAACCATAGTTTTTACGTTTCTGTCATTTGTTATAACGTATATATTTTCTATTGTAAGATATTGGAAACTCATAATTGTACCGAAAGAATCAAGCATATCTGTACAAAATAACTTTTTTTTACTTTTAGAATGTGGTAATTTACTTTCCTTAACCGTTATATATCAAATAAAACTGAAAAGAACGATATATACCAGAATTGGTTAACAAATCCACATCTATACATCCATATATACGATACAACAATGGTTCGTTACTTGCTTGTCCCATAAGTCATTTTCTTATTAATATTAATATTATAACCGCCGTAATGCCCATCTTGTAACACACGAAAACGAGGCTCAATTCCTGCTCTCTTGCCTTTCATCAAATATTTTTTCGATTTCTATATTTAGCAAACTTCTTTACCTACGACCCATTATATATGGCATCGTTTCCCAACAGCTTATGCATTCAGACCTTCGACCAACAATGGCTTCATTCATTAGAAATTCCCATCTTTCATGGAGCGCTCTTGTGGTTCTATACATGGCACTTCTTGTCTCTGTTTGTGAAGCTAGGGTTCACAGGGGTAAAGGAAGCGGCTTTGTTCGAACCAAAGGACCTAACTTTGTTCTCAATGGGTCCCCTTTTCTATTTAATGGTTTTAATGCGTATTGGATGATGAATGTAGCCACTGATCCAAGCGAGAGGATGAAAGTTACTCAAGTCCTACAAGATGCTGCAAATGCAGGTCTTTCTGTATGCCGAACATGGGCTTTTGCTGATGGTGGCGACAAAGCTCTCCAGATTTCACCAGGAGCGTACGACGAACGTGTTTTTCAGGTATCAACAAACACGTTTCTTAGCTAGTTTTGATCATGCTTTCCTTCATATTGTATATATGGTGTTCTTACATTAAACGTGGGTTTGGTTTGAGCGCAGGGACTAGATTTCGTCGTGGCAGAAGCAAGAAAATATGGTCTTCGGTTAATATTAAGTTTTGTTAACAATTACAAAGACTTTGGAGGGAGACAACAATACGTAAACTGGGCAAGAAGTTCTGGCATTCAGATCAACAGTGACGACGATTTCTATACCAACCCAATAGTAAAAGGGTATTATAAGAACCATGTCCAAGTAAGCCTTCAACAGCATCAATTGTTGAGAAAAAGTTGAAGAATCAACATCAATAATGTTTTATTTTTTATATATCGACCTAACTTGTGTTTTCATACCCAACTTATATGCATAACGATGACTGCATGCAGAGAGTTATAACAAGGGTGAATACTATCACCAGGGTCGCATATCGTGACGACACCACAATCATGGCATGGGAACTCATAAACGAGCCCCGCTGCCAGGCTGATTACTCTGGAAGAACAGTTAATGTAAGTGACTGCATGTAAAGATATAAATTACAAGAATCTTTAAACATTAATATATGTTATAAGGAATTGTAATTTATATATAAATTCTGACCACGACATACATTTCGTTGCAGGTTTGGGTTCAAGAAATGGCTTCGTTCGTCAAATCATTGGATAGACACCATCTATTGGAGGTTGGCATGGAAGGGTTTTATGGTGACACAATGCCTGAACGAAAGCAGATAAACCCCGGTTACCAAGTTGGAACTGATTTCATCAGCAATAATCTTGTTAGGGGAATCGATTTTGCCACCATACATGCATATCCTGATCAATGGTAATATTTTCAATAACATTAAACAAGAGCATTCATGATCTATAAATAGAAAAAAGCCATATATGCAACTAAAAGAGGGTATTTCAGGTAACTATTCATATTTTGGTTATGCTACAGGTTGTCTGGACAAAATGAAGAGTCACAAATGGCATTTATGCAAAGATGGATGTGGAGTCATTACCAGGATTCAAAAACTATCCTTAAGAAACCACTTGTGATTGCTGAATTTGGGAAGTCTAGCAAAGATCCAGAATATAACATTAACAAAAGGGACTCGTACTTGAATGCTGTTTATAGAAACATTTATATGATGGCCAGAACTGGAGGAACTGTTGGTGGTGGTTTAGTGTGGCAGCTTATGGCGGATGGAATGGGTTCTTACTGCGATGGATATGAAATAACCTTGTCAGAAAATCCATCAACAAGCAACATCATTTCTCAGCAATCTCAAGCCATGAGCACGTTGTCTCATTTGCTAAGAATTGCATCTGAAAATGTTCCTTCCGGCAAAAATCATAAACTCCAACTTGATCATATTAAAGGTCGTTCCTCTAAGACAAACCATCATGGTCCCTCTAAGACAAACCATCATGGTCGTCCTCGTCATCACCATGCTCACAACCAAAAGCCACTGCCTTGACAATGTGCAGAATTGAAGGAGGGGATTAGAATCAAGATCCTCTTATATATTACTCAAAGTGTCAATTAATTTCTTGCGGCTTTATGGAAATTGTCAAATAGCCCGTTATTTATTGATTCAAATTAATTCTAATGAAATGCTTCTTTCTCGAAAGAGATAGTTCCACATGCATGGAAAGTCTTTGATCAACGCACACTCATGCGCATGTACGTAATTCGAATGAAAACTTTAAATATTCATTAACAAAATATAGTAACTGAAACCCTCACTTTTATAATGATTTACGGAAACAACATATAAAAAATAGGATACTAAAAAAAAATTGGAGAGCCCACACTTGTTGACGTCTTTGAGTTTTCTATAGACTGAATTGTCAATGCATGTTTTGAAAACTGGACCGACCGGTTCAAGCGGTTCAACCGGGAACCCCCATATATATACATATCCGGTTTAGGTGGAAAGACCTGTTGTTCAAAAACACGTAAAATATGTTCAGTAAACCGTTAAAGTTGTTCTATGACTAATTAATAATAACTAAAATTTATTTAAAAATAAGTATTTTTCCTATTTTCTTAAAGAAATAAGAAAACAAGGCAACTAATAGTTAAATATGATGCTTCCCACCATTGACGTCATTCGCGCTTCACTTAACATCATCCCAAGTTTTATAGAATATTACGTTTGACAAACACTACTAGAAAAAGAGGCATTAGCGACGGAATTAGCAATGGAACGAATCCCTAGCTAATTAGCGACGGATTTACAAGGGGTCTACGATGGAAATCGTTTGTGGATATAAGGTATAGATTTTAGCCTGTTAGCAAGGGATTAGAAAGGGACTACTGACGGAATTAGAGACGGAATTAAACCTACGCTATTCCCTCGGTAATATCGGTCGCTGATTTTTGTTAATTCCCTCCCAAATATTTCGTTTCCCCCGTTCCTCCTCCCACTTATTTTCATCCCCCCATTCAAATCGACACTCACCAGTCACCTCTCATGCTTGGTTCTGAAATCCAATGCCCAAATCGGCACTCATCTCTCAAATCGACTTCCGATAATCGTCTTCTTTCCATTCCTGAAAATCGATTCCAACAGAAGAAACCCTAGCCAAAACCCTCAACATCATGACGGCGATTCCCGCTGATGACGTTTCACCCTAGTAAGTTTCTAAGTCTTTCGTTAATGTGTTGTTGATTCAACGGCTTCTCTCCTTTGAGTAAATATGTGGCTTCTTTTGTTCAGTTCCGACTTTCAGATCTAGAAAAAAACGAAGCAGAGAGAGAGAAACATGAAGACAAAAATAGCTGAGATATAACATCGCCGCCATTATTTCCGGAGCACAACCACCTCCAACATCGCTTTTCCAACACCGTTCACATCAAATATTTGTGTTAATCTTTGATTTCCAGGTACATGATATATTTTGGTAACTAAATTTTATATCATTTGGTGTTACTCAGTTGATGTTTGTTTGTCCCCTGCCTCGTCAGAAACCCTTATCTAATTCTTAATTCTTTATTCTTTGTTATTCATAAGATTTACAGATCGGATGAGGGACGTGTGCAGGTACCATATTTGAACATTATGGTTCACATCTTTGTCTGCCTACTTTTGTTAAGGTTTCTTGTTATTGGTCATAGTTTTGTTTGACGATTTAATCTTAACAGATGTTGGTTGTTGCTTTTACTCATTTACCTTATATAATAATTTTTCATATATCTTTTGCTTTACATTTTTTGCAAAACTTTTTTGACCTTGTAGGCTAGCTTCAACAACTTAATAGCGTCTAGAGTGAAGGCAGTGCAGGCAAAAGGATCATGTTTAGAGCTTCTGGTTTTTACCTACATCGGTAAATATTTATTTATGTTAATGTAAAGATTGTTCTGATTTAGGTTGTTAGAAAAAGATGAAGAGAATGTCATATGGAATTAACTATAGTTACAAATGACAAGTTTCTTATTCTTTCTCTGAAAGTTCTCTTGTTCATGGTATTAAACTCACACTAAATGTCACACAAAATTTTGGTATGTTCCATTATGTTAATATGTTAAAAACTATTATCTGTGTCATCTCCCATTTATATTTTTTTTCAAAATATATTTGTTTAATTTTCAGCTTTAGATAGTACTTGGTATATAAAACTTCCTTGTATATAATATTTGACTAATGTATCTAACATTTGGTTAAGCCATGTATGTTTGTATTTTTATAAATATTTTTGAAAACTGAAACTCACCGATTCAATCGGTTGAACCGAAACCAGTCATAATACAACCGGTCAAAACAGGATTGCTTGGTCAAAAACAGGTAAAACTAGTGTCGTACCCGTCCGGTGGACAGGTTGATAAATGTATAAACAATATATTGATTTATCTTATTTTTATAGGATGACAAATGTATAAACAATATATTGATTTATCTTATTTTTATAGCATATTTCTTTCATTTGTTCCTATATTAGCTATGTACATGACAAATCTATCCAATTATCTTTCTATATCTTGAAATAATATCTATAATTGTGTTGCATACATAACATAAAATAAAGAACACGGTCAATTTAAGACTTAAAAATTGAAATATTATTCAATGTAGAGCTGAAAGTCAACATAGTTACACATAATCAGCAAATAGAGTGGCTGCTTTTATCATTTCAACCAAGTGCTCACAAATAGCCAAAGCCAAACCTGAAATTAATATTAATATTAATATATATAATATAAAATAAATCAATCAATAAGAATCAATCATTTATGAATTTATGCATAGAACTCTAGGAAAAAAACATGAAATGAAACTAACCAAATCCATCATAAGTTGAAGTTCCATGACCCAATTCATCGATAATAATTAGTGATTTGTCAGTTGCACCTTTTAAAATTGAAGCTGTTTCCAGCATTTCTTGCATAAAGGTAGAAACTCCATGTAACTGTGTATCACTGAATAAACAAAATATTTCAAAGATTCAGGGGCTGTGTCTTTTTTACTTAATGGGTTAAGCACTTAATCAGGATAATTATATATAGTTGTTTCTTTTTGACTTAATCTGGACAGAATGACTTTATATGTCAAGCCAAAAACCTATGTTAATGTATTCAGACATTAATCGGATCCTTTACCTATTTGCCTTAATTCTCTTTTCCTTTCAATTTCAACCACTTTGTTTTTTCAAATTAAAGGGTAAAATGGTCATTTAGTCTCATTCAGACTCGAAAAGAAACAGATTCTATGTCTACAACACTTTATCCAGAAAGAAATCATTACCCATACTGCCAGTTTACATATAATATTAAAAAAAACAGCCAATGAGCATAAAGATCCCTATTTATTTAACAATAAAATAATAAACAACTAAAATTTAATTTTATAAAAAAAGGTAATTTACCTGACAGTCACCAGCACCAACACGAGCAAAAATACAGTCACGGATAGAAATATAAGCTTTATCAAAAGGAACAAAACATCCAACTTGTGCCATAAGAATGTTCACACCAACCTTGTAAAAATAAACTACAAAAAATCATTATTTCAAATATATATATATATATATATATATATATATATATATATATATATATATATATATATATCCAACCAAATAATAAAAACTAAATTCACTCAATGCCTACCTGACGTATAAATGTAGATTTTCCACCCATGTTGGGGCTCGTTATAATCTGAAACCAACTCTCTCCCCTCACCTAGTATTTTCCAAAAATAAAAATAATAAATCAGTCCCACTTTTTTTAAATAACCAGAAATATGCTCTAAATTGCAAGAGATCTTACAAGTTTGCAATCATTTGGTATAAAAGTCACCCAATCTTGAGCTTCCACACAAGGGTGTCTATTGTTTTCTAATATAATATCGTCTGTATCCTGTCAATGGAAAAATCGTAATTAAAACATATCCTTAAAAAAATTATCATCAACCACATAAAGAGAAAACAAAAAAGAGGAAATTCTAAAATTGTTACCGAAGGTGTGATTTCTGGTGTGGTATAAGGGGTGGGGCTGCTAGCTGCCAGGTCAGCAAAACTTAGCAAGACATCCAGCTCAGCAAGCAACATAGCCAAACCCTCAAACACCTGTATAAAAGGATTAGTTTATGACCATTTTGCCCATTACAGAAGGAAGATGATACAGTAAAGTGTAGCTATCTCAGAGAAAGTAGTTGTTGTTTCAACAACTCGGGTGACCAGTTCCTTCTGACAACTTTTATATTCTTCTAGAATCTTTTGGTATTCATCTCCTAATTTTTTTAATTTTGTATTTGTAAACTTTACACCATCTTTTCGGGTTTCAAGAACAGCAAATTGGGCAGCAAGCTTATTTCTCACTTTTGGTTCTTCCTTTTTTGTGATTTTAAAAACATGTCCAAATTGTGTGCCTTTATCCAGCTTTAAACCCTTGTCAAGAGCCAGATCAAGGTCATCACCTGTTTTTCTATGTAAATTGTGTATTTGTTGTTCTAGTGATTCTTGTTCGTCTTTTAGGGCTGATAATTGAGAGTCATAACCAGGTGAAATCATGTACTCTCCATTTTCAAGTTGATCAAGATCAACTGAAACTTCCACAAGACCAATGAACTTGTTTATGTGTTCATCATTAGTCTAAAAATTAAGGCGCTCCATGTATCTTTCCTTGATCAGTGATGCAAATTCACCATTGTACCCTTCCAGTGCACTTTTGATGTATGGAACTCTGATGCTTGACTGCATAAAGAAAAACAGTAAAACATATACTCATTATTCACAATTGTTACACAAACTAAAATGTGACTAATTTAGTTCAAGTTATTTCAATGTGTCTCAACTTATTTCATTACACCATCCAAAACTCAGCCCATGAAGCATGATCACAGTATTAAAAATTTATAAAGAGACTAAAATCTAAACACTAATCACCTGATAAAGCTTGACAACATGCAACAAACCAGCTCTTCTTTTCTGAATAATCGACATTAATCGCTCAATATCAGTTATTCTTTTCAGATGTTGATTCAAAACCTGACGAAAACCAGTATCCTCTGTAACAACCCGTTATTTTTCGATCAATGTAATGACTAAGAGTCAAATGCTGTAATCTCTTTGTGAATTAATAAAAATAGCGTCAAAACTGAAATGTTCAAAAAGCTCAGTTTGAGTATACTAAGTGATAGATATCATAATAAGGTTTCCAAAAATATAAAGAACACTAAAATCCGAGGTGTAACGAAGGAGTTATGACCAATTGAAGGTCCGTAACAATTCTGGTAAGACGCTATTAAGCGTAAAACAAGAAATTTCAATAAAATACTTTTTAGCCTTAGGTATCTAAATGAAAGTCGTAGATATCATTAAACCGTGAACGTGCATAAAAAGAACGCCCAAATCTGACTGCGTATGAGGAAGTTATGATTTTTCGAAGTTTCGGACATAGCGGTAGACAGCTAAAAACTCGAAATAGAGATCGAGTGACTTTTGGCCAATGCAACCTAAACGAGAATCGAAGATCTCGACAATAGTAATACAACGGTAAAAAGACAGACGAAAACGGATGTCGGATGAAGAAGTTATGGATTTTTAACGGACTTTTCCAGTCCCGGCCTGTTAAAAATATATTATTAAAGATAAAGTCAAAACTAGTTGTAGAGTACAGTCTCACCTACGCGTGGATATAAAGAACGCCAAAAACGGAGCTCGTACGCGAAAGTTACGTAATTTAGAAGTTTGGGAATTCAAATTACGCCCCGCGTAAAAGGAGGGTACGCCCCGCGTACCAGGCGATAAGGGCCTCGTCCCGTCGGCCAGCAGCCCTCCCATCAGACATCAAGTCCGAAGTACATAAGCGATGACGACCCACTACGCCCCTCGTACTCCTAGAGTACGCCCAGCGTACCGAGGCGGTTCAACCTCTATAAAAGGGGTGCGAGGGTTCCGAGATTAATTGCTCAACTCTTCTCTTTCTCGTTCTTTTGCTCTGCGTTTAACCCCTCGAAGCCATCCTGAAGCCTCGGTTTTCATATCCAAGTTCCGAAGGAAGTTTTACACTCCCGAGATTCCCGAGAATCCCGAGAAATCAGCTTTCTCCAGTCGAAGTTCTGCTCGATTCTTGTCTCATCTTCTTCAAACCGCCACTTCAACCAAGTGAGTTCATACCCCTATCACTACATTTTCAAATGCTTTTAAATGCTTTTAAACACTTTTAAAGGGGCGGAATACAAGTAAACACATGGTTAATCCCGTGTGAAAACATCAATCTTTTGTTATACATTTCATGTTGTTTTCATGACTATCATATGGATCTGTTAACATGCAAAACATCTTACACTACTTTACCCTCTCGGGATGAAACATGTTTATAAATATTATAGTCTTTATTTATACGTTTGCATCATATCAAGGGTAACCATTTTCACTATACCATTCTTATACGTACAAGAACATACACCTCTTAATTATGCCTTTGTCTATATTGTGGAAAAGGGTAATCATTTCAGGATCAAACATATTCATTTTAATACGTGACTTAATTGAGAATCTGTGAGTCATTCATCTTCACTATACCTATTAAGGTACCGCTAGAAGTCCTGTTTTCTAACGAGAATCTCCCGTCCGGAGAACGTGACAAGTGTGTATAGATCTATACGGGACTAATGATCCCGCACCCTGACTGTTAGCTACAGTCCCCGGGGTGACAAGTATCATAACATTTCGACGCCTGAAGAACGTTGCTATAGGCAAATTATGATAGTACGGTTATGAAAACTCACTGGATAGACAATTATTATGGTATTACGTTTTCACAGGAAAAGTAACAGATACAATTCTTTTCACATTGAAATACAAATCTTCTTATAGTTTTGTTTTATAATAAAACTATACATCATTCTTT